AGCCAGGGGGTTAACTAGTACCAACAGGAATTCCAGCAAGAAGGCTGGAAGCTGTAATTCATGGCACAGAAGAAAGACAGTCACTTCACACACAAGGCAGAGGACTTACTGGTGAAAACGGAAAAGTGTGAGTGAATTGGAAACCTACAGTGGGAGCCAAATGAACTGGTTTATCCAAGGAACACCACTTTGAATGGAGTCTCATTTTACTGTCTGAATTTGCTCACTTGTTATCTCTGTTATTTCTTTGTACTTCTTGTTGAGATGGACAGTGTTTGGGACTACAGAGAAGGCCTCTGACCTGTGAACCATCTCATTTAGCTCACAGTAGCCTCCTGTTTAGGGATGAAAAACACCTGGTGATGGGAAGGACTCGCATTTCACCTGTCTTTGACATAGCCTTAACATATACAGAACTTTAATCCCACACAGCTTTTTGGAAATATATGCTTTAAAGATTTGGGTGTTTGTTTTCAGATAAAATCTGCTTATGATAATATTACTAGCTATGTATTATGAAAATAGGAAAGTAATCCCCTAAGGCTTTGTAGTAATGACTTCTGAGCATCTTGCATCATCACACCCAGACAACGGAATTAAGGCTACCCTGCATGATTAAAAGGAATGTGGAAAATCTTGTTATTTCTGATATAGACGCCTCTAACGGTGAAAGGTACTATGTAGCTTCATGATGCAATTGAATCAGGTAAAATACCTTTTGAAAAGAAACATATAAACTTGCTTGATTTCTTTTACTCTGGCTTTTGACACAGCAGTTAAATCCTGACAGCCAGCCATTTCTGATGTATCAGCTCAAGGACTGTTAACTGGAAGGTCTAATCCTTTGTTTGTCATTGTGACATCATCTCAGATCTGACCTCATAGGGTTTCAGAGAGTCACAGTTATCCTTGGTGTATCATTCTGTTGAAGTGAGAGTAGATACAAGGGTGTCATTGATTGATGACAAAGCAATTAACTGCCTTCATCAGGCCTGCTAAGCCTCCTCAGGGGAATGAAGATACAGACAATGTAAGGACTGCAGCCTACTTGTTCCTCTGACAGGGGGCAAAAAAACCGTTCCCAGGCAAGCTTTTTCCAAGCTAAATTCTATGCCCTAAGTGTCCGAGGGGCAATGCAAAGGAAACGTGGTACTTTTAGGGTGCATCTACATGCGCTATTAGCATGGAGAATAAATTATGGTGCATACTGCATTGGAGTTTATTGCTCCCAGGTGCCATGTCTATATGTGTGTCCGAGACTGCAACATGTTGAGCTGGGTCGGAGCACCCTTGACAGACAGAAGGCTTTGGGGATAAGCCTGCCAACCCAGGGCTGCTCCAGTTCAGCTCAATGTGGTGTGGAAGGGCTGGCTGGGGCATAAGGGTGCTCCATTGTGGGGTTAGCTGGCAGGCAGCCCCCACACTGAAGCACCCTCATGCCCTAGCCAGCCCCATCAGCGTCTACATGTGTGTTGCTATGCAATAAAGAACTCCGCCATAGGACAGTACTTGTATATACAAGACTAACCTATGGTGGAGTTAAGTAGTTTACTGTGACCTAATAGGGATGCATATGTAAATGTGGAGACATTTACTGCGAAGCTAATTAGGCAGGTCTGTGGTAAATATCTATGTAGTTGCGTCCTCAGTTTCCAGAAGGAATAGGTAGATATTGTGGCAGAATGCCACCTCTGTCTCTCCCCAAAAACTCTGCTATGTGACAATTTGGTTAACATGGTCACTACAGAGGGCAGACATCCCATCTCTTTAGGTAACCCTGAGCTGTAACCTGTGTTGGATACATTCCTGAGGGAAGGGGGAAACCTGCTGCCTCTGCCTACGTGACTGGCATCACATACCTGGGTGGGGGGCTTAGGCTCCCTATTCTTCTAAGCAATGCCAGTCTACCCAGCAACCAGTGATGCATTTCAAATTGGTTGGCTAGCAGCCAACAGTTGCTGGCCTCCACTGGACCAGGTAAATGAGGTCATAAGGGTTATATAAGTTAAGGACTGCCCAGGAGAAGGTGCAGTAGCCATGATGAAAACACAGAGAGAAGCTGGACCATTTGAAACTTGCTCTCTCTCTTGAAACTCATGATCAGTGAACTGCCTGCCTCCAGAGGGAATCTCCACCTGCATCTGGATGATACTTGTGAGTAAGCTACCTGAGATCTAACTAGATATATAGCTTGCAGTAACTCAGATGCATGATCAAAGGCTACCTAGCCACCCTGTTTGCTCTATGGGATTTATCTGATATTGCTTTACCCTATATTCCAAACCTACTCCTTGTAACCAATAATGTTCTCCTTTGTACCTAGCGTGGGAGACTTATTGGGAGAGGGGCTAGATTATGCCTTGGGGTCCCCTTGGTTTGGCTGACTAAGGGAGACCACTATTTGTGCTTCAGACTGAGGGAAGCACCCCAAGTTCTTGAAGTGGGTTGAGTACCCTCAAGGGCTACTAGGCTTGTGTTTCCCAGGGAGCACAGAGCCAGGATCAGTCCAGACCCTGGGTGGTGGCAGCGTTACCCCCAGGCTAGTGGGTGTGCTCCAGGAAGGGGGTCGACTAGATGTGAGGCGCCCCCAGGAAGGCACTTGGAGCCTAGAAAGTGGTTGGGCGCAGTGAGGTGGGTGGCTCAGCACAGGAGTACCCCCTACTGGTCTGCCACAGATATAACTCCTCTTAGGGTCCACAGCCATGTCTTCCCCACACTACAAATAAGGCAAGGCCCCTTATTAGCACTATTGAACAACTAGGACATTTGGACAAAGCCTCTACTGGTCCTCCAAGCTATCACACAACTCATCAAGCTGTTCACAGAAGCTGCTAGAGGTGATATTTGGCTCCATGGCCTCTCCTTATAGCTAAGATGCTTAGTAATTTCTCATACAGATTCATATTGATCTCAGGTGGCTTATGGACTTGGAGTACAGAAGCAAAGAAGCTGGTGGAGGGATAGCACCAAGTCTTATCTTCCTTTGAGTGAGGATTTCATGCATGATGTGCAGAGTTCTTGGGGGTAGTATGTATTATGTAGTTTAATTAAGCCAGTCTGCCTTATCATGTGAGCAGAACCTTCAGTGGGCTGGCTGACAAATTTGTGACATTCTTCCTTGATAGAGTAGATCAGGTCATGCTTGGATTTTGGGGCCATGTGAATATAAAAATTCTCCTCTGGCTCATCACTTGCACTGCCAACTGCTTTTTCTCCCTACATGTTGGCTGTTTATAGCTGCATTGCTATTAATGACAAGTACTGCTGATACCTCATGAAGAGAGTTAAGGTGGACCATTTTAAAGGAGGTAGAAAACTCAGACTTCTGTACCATACAGTTTAACAAGTATATGTGACCTGTTTCAAACACATGGTAGAGTACCATCAACATACTGAGACATGCAGTTGGCCATACGTTCCTACTGTAAAAATAAAAGATGAGATAATACTGCCAATTAGATACATCAAAAGTGAGCTTTTGCTCAACTCTGGAAACAAAATTTTTTGATGGGATAGATATTGTTGTGTTTTTATTGTGACAGGAGCCAGGGGATTTACTTGGTAGTACTGAGTACAGCTAAGCATATTTCTATTGCTGTTTATCATTGCCTTTTCACATGTGGTATGAAAACAACTTCCCTCTTCTTCCCTTTCCTCTTTTCCCCCCATAGTGCAATCTGCACAGGCTACTCTCTTACATCTGCTGTCTTTCCATTAGCACAGTTTATGCTGTCTTTGGACAGGTTCAGTAACTCTTGACAGTAATCAGACAAGACAGAACAGTGGCACATCAACTGATTTAATTAAAAGCCCATTTAATTTCTTTTTATTGCTTTTCTCATTTAATTAGTAGTCTGTATTAATAGCCTCCTTGAATCCGAATCAAATCAGGGGACCAATTAAAAGGTCCAAATTGATTTGAAGCTCTCTGAATTGATTCGGAAAAGATTTGGAGAGCTTCAGTGATTCGGGCAATAAGTAGGGGGTGGGGGAGGGGGGATGAAGGAGGAGGGAGGGGGCCATGGG